ATTAAAAGGACTAGCCATAGCAATCAGACAACAAAAAGAATTCAAAGGCATCCAAATCGGCAAAGAGGAAGTCAAACTCTCACTCTTTGCAGATGATATGATACTGTATGTGGAAAACCCAAAAGACTCCACCCCAAAACTGCTAGAACTCATACAGGAATTCAGTGAAGTAGCAGGATATAAAATCAATGCATAGAAATCAGTGGCGTTCCTATACGCCAACAACAAGACAGAAGAGAGAGAAATTAAGGAGTCGATCCCATCTACAATTGCACCCAAAACCATAAGATACCTAGGAATAAATTTAACCGAAGAGGCAAAGGATCTGTACTCAGAAAACTATAAAATACTCATGAAAGAAATTGAAGAAGACACAAAGAAATGGAAAAACGTTCCATGCTCATGGATTGGAAGAACAAACATTGTGAAGATGTCCGTGCTACCTAGAGCAATCTACACATTCAATTCAATCCCCATCAAAATACCATCCACTTTTCTCAAAGAAATGGAACAAATAATCCTAAAATTTGTATGGAACCAGAAGAGACCCCGAATAGCCAGAGGAATATTGAAAAAGAAAAGCAAAGCTGGCGGCATCACAATTCCGGACTTTCAGCTCTATTACAAAGCTGTCATCATCAAGACAGTATGGTACTGGCACAAAAACAGACACATAGATCAATGGAACAGAATCGAGAGTCCAGAAAGGGACCCTCAACTCTATGGTCAACTCATCTTTCACAAAGCAGGAAAGAATGTGCAATGGAAAAGAGACACTCTCTTCCACAAATGGTGTTGGGAAAATTGGACAGCCACATGCATAAGAATGATACTGGACCATTTCCTTACACCACACACAAAAATAGACTCCAAATGGTTGAAAGACTTAAACGTGAGACAGGAGTCCATCAAAATCCTAAAGGAGAACACAGGCAGCAACCTGTTCGACCTCATCCGCAGCAACTTCTTCCTAGAAACATCGCCAAAAGCAAGGGAAGCAAGGGCAAAAATGAACTCTTGGGATTTCATCAAGATAAAAAGCTTTTGCACAGCAAAAGAAACAGTCCACAAAACCAAAAGACAACTGACAGAATGGGAGAAAATATTTGCAAACGACATATCAGATAAAGGGCTAGTATCCAAAATCTATAAAGAACTTATCAAACTCAACACCCAAAGAACAAATAATCCAATCAAGAAATGGGCAGAAAACATGAACAGACATTTTTCCAAAGAAGACATCCAAATGGCCAACAGACACATGACAAAGTGCTCAACATCGCTCGGGTTCAGGGAAATCCAAATCAATACCTCAATGAGATACCACTTCACACCAGTCAGAATGGCTAAAATTAACAAGTCAGGAAACGACAGATATTGGCGGGGATGTGGAGAAAGGGGAACCCTCCTACACTGTTGATGGGAATACAAGCTGGTGCAACCCCTCTGGGAAACAGTATGGAGGTTCCTCAAACAGTTGAAAATAGAGCTACCATATGATTCAGCAATTGCACTACTGTGTATTTACCCCAAAGATACAAATGTAGGGATCCGAAGAGGTACGTGCACCCCAATGTTTATAGCAGCAATGTCCACAATAGCCAAACTGTGGAAAGAGCCAATATTTCCATCGACAGATGAATGGATAAAGAAGAAGTGGTATATATACACAATGGAATATTATGCAGCCATCAAAAGGAATGAGATCTTGCCATTTGCAACGACGTGGATGGAACTGGAGGGTGTTTTGCTGAGTGAAATAAGTCAATCAGAGAAAGACATGTATCATATGACCTCACTGATATGAGGAATTCTTAATCTCAGGAACAAACTGAGGGTTGCTGGAGTGGTGGGGGGTGGGAGGGATGGGGTGGCTGGGTGATAGACATTCGGGAGGGTATGTGCTATGGTGAGCGCTGTGAATTGTGCAAGATTCTGAATCACAGATCTGTACCTCTGAAACAAATGATGCAATATATGTTAAAAAAGAAAAAGAAGAAGATAGCAGGAGGGGAAGAATGAAGGGGAGTAAGTCGGAGGGGGAGACGAACCATGAGAGACGACGGACTTTGAAAAAAAAACTGAGGGTTCTAGAGGGGAGGGGGGTGGCGGGATGGGTTAGCCTGGTGATGGGTATTAAAGAGGGCACATTCTGCGTGGAGCACTGGGTGTTATGCACAAACAGTGAATCATGGAACACTACATCAAAAACTAATGATGTAATGTATGGTGATTAACATAACAATAAGAATTAAAAAAAAACAACTACAGCTACAATAATTTGATAATGAAGATACACTATTAAAAGAAGTTAATTGTGACATCAAAACATTAAAAATGGGAAGAATTGTAAAAACCAATACTAGATACACAAAAGTTAAAAAAAAGGGAATCAAAGCATACCATAGGGAAAATCACTACACAAAGACAGTAAAAGAAGAAGAAAGAAACAAAGGAAATACAAAACTAGAAAACAATGAATAAGTTGGTATTAGTAAGCTCATACTTTGCCTTATTTACTTTTAATGTAAATGGATTAAATTCTCCCATCAAAAGGCATAAAGTGGCTAATGGACTAAGAACAAGACCCAACTGTATGCTACCTACAAAAGACTCACTTCAGGTTTAAGAACATACGTAAACTGAAGGTGAAGGGATGGAAAAAGATACTGCATGCAAATGGAAACCAAAAGAAAGCTAAAGTAGCTATACTTATATCAGACAAAATAGACTTTAAGCCAAAACTATGATGAGACTGGGGCGCCTGGGTAGCTCAGTTGGTTAAGTGTCGAACTCTTGATTTCTGCTCAGGTCATGATCTTGAGTTTCTGAGATTGAGCCCCCTGTCAGGCTCCGCACTCAGCATGGAGTCTGCTTGTCCCTCTCCCTTTGCTCTCCCTGCTGACTTGTGTTCCCTCTTTCTTTCTCTCAGATAAATAAATAAATAAGTAGACTCTTAAAAAAACAACAACTACTACGAGACAAAGCCCTTTTATAGTGATAAAAGAGTCAGTTCATCAGAAGGATATAACAATATATATGCATCCTACATCAGAACATCTAAACATATTAAGCAAATACTAACAGATCTGAAGGGAGAAATAGACAACAATACAGTAATAGTAGTGGAATCTGACACCCCACTTTCAACAATGGATAGATCATCCAGATAGAAAATCAATAAGGAGGGGCGCCTGGGTTGCTTCGTTGGTTAAGCGACTCTTGATTTTGACTCAGGTCATGATTTCAGGGTCATGGGATCAAGCCCCACATTGGGCTTTGTGCTCAGTGGGGAGTCTGCTTGAGATCCTCTCTCTCCCTCTCCCCCTGCACCCCCCGCACTTTCCCTCTCTCTCTCTTTCTCTCTCAAAAAATAAATAGATAAATCTTAAAAAAAAAAGAAAATCAATAAGGAAACATTGGATGTGAACTATACCTTGAGCCAAATAGATTACCAGACATATATGGAACATTTCACCCAACAGCAGCAGAATACAGATTCTACTCAAGCACACATGAAACATTCTCCTGGATAGATCACATGTTAGGCACAAATCCAGTTAAGAAAGGGGCAGAGGACTTGAATAGAAATTTCTCCAAAGAAAAAATACAGATGGTCAACAGTTACATAAAAGGGTGTTCAATATTTCTAATCATCTGGGAAATGCAAACCAAAACATGAGATATGTCCTCATACCTGTTAGGAAGGCTATTATCAAACTGTCAGGAGACAGCAAATGCTGTCAAGGATGTAAAGAAAAGGGAATTCTTGTGCACTGTTGGTAGAGATGTAAATTGGTGCAGATACTATGGAAAACAGTATGGAGTTTCCTTTAAAAATTAGAAATAGAACTGCCATATGATCCAGCAGTGCCACTTCTGCCAGTATATCACAGGAAATGAAATCTTACAGAGGTATCTGCATCCCCATGTTCATTGCAGCATTATTCCCAATAGCCAAGGCATGGGAAAACCTAAATATCTATTGATGGATGGATAAATGAGTAAAGAAGATGTGATACACACATACACACACACACACACACACACACACACACACAAAATGGGATATTAATCAGCCATAAAAAGAAGAAAATTCTGCCATCTTGCAATAATGTAGTTGGACCTTGAGAGCATTATTGTAAGTGAAATAAGACAAAGAAAGACAAATTCCTATGTTCTCATTTACATGTGTAATCTAAAAAAGTGAACTCATAGATATCAAGAAAAAATGGTGGTTGCCAGGGGCTGGTGGGTGGGGGAAATGTGGACATGTTGATCAAAGGGTAAGAACTTCCAGTTATTAGATGAATAAGTTCTACAGATCAAATGTACAGCACAGTAACTATATATTACATATTTGAAAGTTAAGAGTATCGATCTTAAATGTTATCACCACCTCTGAAAATGATAATTATGTGAGGTGATGGATGTGTTAACTAACCTTATTGTGGGACTCATTTCACAGTATATTTATGTATCACATCATCACATTTGTACACCTTAAAGTTACATTTGTTATGTGTCAGCTATATCTCAATAAAGCTGGAAAAAAATTAAAAGACAGTATATGAAAACCAAGGACATTTTTATAAGATGTACAGTACATCAGTATTGGTTCTTTAGTTGTAGCAAGTGCACAATACCAATGTTATCAACAGTGAGGCAAGTAGGCGTAGGGTATGTGTTAACCCTGTACTATCTTTGCAATCTTTATGTAAATATAAAATCTTTCTAAAGAAAAATTAAATTAAAAAAAATACTTCAGATGACCAGACTCCATTTGAGTTATGGGAAACTTTCTTGGAGTAAAGGATTGGTGTGCTGATACTCCTGGATTTAAAAAAAAAAAGTAATTTTAGCTAGATACTCACATATATAGATACTTCTATAAATGTGTTTTCACTAGTGTTGAATGAGGTTGCTATTAGAATACAAACCATTTAATACTCATGCAGTTAGCCATGTTGATGTTAGAAGTGTGCCATTTCTTTATGTAGTGTCTTGGCAGGTTACAATGGTACCATCCTTGCTTATGGGCAAACAGGCAGTGGGAAGACATTCACCATCACTGGTGGGGCAGAACGCTACAGTGACCGAGGCATTATCCCAAGGACACTATCGTACATTTTTGAACAATTACAAAAGGTATGGAACTTTACGTTCATTTTCTATTTGATATATTCAGCAGAAATTTATGGTGGGTAAAAAATTTATTGTGACATTTTATTATATCTAAATGAGGAAGTGTTGTGTCATAACTCTGGCCTTTACGTTTAAGGAAAGTTTAGGATTTTGCTGAAGAAGTAGAAATTAAGGTACTTCTCATTAAAGGGATGCTGTTTCAGCAAAGGCTCAAAGGGAGTTCCTTCTGATACATCCATGGGGGTTAAAAGAACAGATAACACATTTTACTAACTAACACCGTATATATCCCATTAAGTAACTGGATGTCCTTTTGCCAAGACATCTTTATTTCGGCTACTAAAGCACTGAATAAGATGATGTGATCGTACCTTTTTCACAATTGTAATAGAAGCCCAAAAGAGTTTACCAGAGTAAAAATCCTATTGCAATTAATATTATTATGAAGAGAAGTTCTCTATATTATATGCATCATTGATTGTGTGTCTCTAAGTGCCTATTGCTTTATTAGTATTTAATACAACATACAATACAACTAGCAAGGTAAGTATCCTTATCCCAATTTCATAGTTGGGAAAACTGAGTCTAGATATCTTTCTCTGAGTCTTTATAAGTAGCTGACTTGGAGGTCCATCCCAGGTCTGTGTGATGCCAAAATCTGTGCTTTTTACCACTAAATACACTGCCTCTATGTCTCAGACTGGCTTTATTTTGTTGATTGTATTTAACTAATAATGAGTCCCATAACTTCTCTGGGTTTCCATTTTCCCCTCTGTGAAAGTAGGGAGTGAATTGTACAAGAGGATCTACATTGGCCTTACTAGTTCCTACACTTACTTGGTTGTATTAATTCTGTGTAACAAATGTCCTAACTAGGTCAGTGTAACAGTTATTCCAAAATTTCTTGACTGTATGCTTTTTGCATTTTGAGTTGCAAAGATGAGAAGAAATTGCTGAGATCTGCATAATTCTAATTTCCATCCATAAAGTAGCAATTACCCATTAGTTCAGCTCATCTCTCACTAGCTCAAACATGCCAACTCTGCATGCCAGAAAATGTGGAAGAGAAAGGGTTGAGTATAGTGTATATGTTGGATTCAGATTCTGTCTTTTCATTTACTCATTTATTTCTGACATTAGCTGTTTTGTTTTGTTCCCAGATTTCACAAACTGGGAATATAATTTCTAATGGTTTTTGCTTCTGTGGCCCAACATGGAAGCCTTTTGTCTTGGAAAGATCAATGAAGTTGGTGCAGGACAACCTGGTTCTGAGAAAGTGTACTGCTTACAGCATGTGGCCTTGAGGCGGTTACTTAATGTCTCAGCCTTGTGTACTTGCTGTGAGGCCTGAACATACCGTATCTAAAGATAGTGTTCAGTTCCTGGCACATAATATATGCTCAAGAAATGAGTTCTATTACTACAACCATTGATATCTATATTCACACACACACACACACACACACACACACACACACACACGTGGCCAAATGATCCTGATTAATTTCAAAGAATCCTTTGAAATTAGAACAAATGAAACCAATTTCCCTGATTAAGTTAAACAGAATAAACAAATCCTTTCCTAACAGAAAATACATTTGTCCCTTCTAAAATTTTGTCTATGGGTACCAAATACAGTAAAAGTCGAAATGTCTCCCGAATACCTACCATCTCTTGGGTCCATTGTTGTATATCTGTTTGGTCATTGACATTATTCTAAACCTCATTTCATTTTGAATGATCCTAAATCACTTCCTGGACTGGAGAGAGCCCCTTGGACCAATTTATAGCCAGGACAACTCTTTGTAAAAGGACAGATTTCCATGATGGGGCACAACACATTCATTATAATCAAACTGAACTGCTACAAAATTAGTCAGAGGCAACTTGAGGTTGATCATTAGGTTTGTCCATACTGTGTAGCTGAAAAATGCAGACAGGTACTCATATGCCCCTAGTTGATTGCTTTAGAGGGCTACATGGAGCTCTCTAGAATTCTTAAAGGAAATATTTGACTTATGCAAAGTATTTATTTCAAGATAAACTAAGAGCAAGTGCAACCTGGCTCCTAAAATGCCTGTGAGTGTGACAGGAGCACATTTGCAGTGATTTTAAAAGAAGACAATTGATTCCATTTATTTTAGAATAATATTTAGAATTTAATTTTAATTTAAATATTATTATTTATTATTACTTATTGTTATTATTAAATATTATTATTATTATTTGTAATAATATTTAGAATTCATTACTTTTGAATATTGTGAGGTTCAGACTTGTTTTGGGGCAGGAGAAAATGCTGTCTGCAGGAAACATGTGTGTTATATTACAGTCTGGCAATCCTAAACACTAAAAAAGGAGTAATAAGGAAAGGTAGCTTGCCACATTGCTCAGTGACTTTTAAGTGTGCATTCCAATGAAAATCCAGAAAATGCAGAAGCTGGAGGAGCCCAAGGCATTATCCCCATTATCTCAGGGGAGTGGACTTGCCATTTTCCTGACTTACGATGATTTCTTCTACTTTCTGGAAGAAAGAGAGTTTCTCCACTGCAGATGAACATACAAGTTGGCTGTTGTTTTTGCCTTTCTTTGCCTTCTCTTTTATATTCATGTACTGAATTCTCCATTTGGAGGCCTTTAGAAACAATAAAAACAGTAACAATAGCAATAATAATAGCTGTAGAAGCAGCAAGGATTTATTGGGGATTATTACAGGGCACACATTCTTGGCAGGATTTTAAGTACAGAACCCTATTTCTCTGTCACAACAGTTCTGCAAGATAAGGGTTATTCTCCCCAATTCTGCAATTAAACAGCTGTGGATAATGCAGGATCACTCAGTTATAAATGCCAGATCCAGGGTTCAAACCCAGCTTTTTCTGATGCTAAGATGAGCCCAGAACTGTCTGCTAAAATCTCAAACTATAATAGATGGGATATTTCAGATATGGTCAGATAAGTTTTAGAAATACAAACTGAGGGTTTTAGAGGGGAGGGGGTGGGGGGTTGGGTTAGCCCGGTGATGGGTATTAAAGAGGGCATGTACTGCATGGAGCACTGGGTGTTATACACAAACAATGAATCATGGAACGCTACATCAAAAACTAATGGTGTACTGTATGGTGACTAACAACATAATAAAAAGAAATCTCCGCCCCCCCAAAAAAGAAATACATTGCTTTTCATGGGATCTCAGGAAATTCATAAATGATCCCCCGTGGCCTTTAACATGCTCAGAGAATCTTCTAGAGAGGGACAGCATATATGTTGATCGTGGAACACTTTTTCCACAAGTTATTTCATGGGACATTTTAGGAAAAATTGGATTAGACTAAAGGCCATGAAGAGTCTGCCTAGTATTTATGGTCTCTGATACCTGTGCTAAGCCAAGTTATAACCCACAGAATGATGTTGAAATGATGCCTTTACTAACCTTATCTGATCGACAGGCCGTGTGTTAGGTAGGATAAGCCCCCAGAGTTGCCCACATCGGGAGGATTTCCAGCATTTGCTTGGGAGAAATTTGCTTAGTAGAGACTCAGTCCATGCTGTCACCCTCCCAAACCACCAGAACATGGAATTTCAGCTGTAGTTTGAGTGTGGTACTCTAGTCATGTGCTGCCTGAGAGTTACCTTAATTTTCCAGGTGTTGTTTTGTTTTTATGAAATGTTGGTGTTTTTCTTTGGGTAGTTTGAGTCACGTTATGACCAGAGAATCATATTAATTTTTATTTGAAGAACACATAGGGATTCATTATTCAACTGCCTCACTAATGGTTGTGGAAGCTGAAGCCTGATATCACAGGGGCTCATAGCAAGCAGGACTGGGATTCCAACCCTGGATTTGCAGAGTTGGAATCCTAGTTCTCTCCGCTGTCTCTGTGACTTGGTCATCTCTCCCTTTGAATAGTATCTGTCAAATGGATTGTCTTGGATATGGGTGAGAATCAATGAGAAGGTCATCCTGAGCAAATTCTCTTCTCTGACAATTTGCTACCTTCTTGCCATAAGGCACAAATATATTGTCCCCTTACAAGAAGTAGGACTCTATTTGCCAAAGTGGAAGAATTTGTATTTTGGGAGAAGCAAGAAGAAGGTGCTATTAATTGATACTTGGCCTTGAAAACTGAGCCTGGAATTTTCTTGAGACCTGAAAAAATTCCATTTTATTCCATCTCAGAGAGAGTGGGTCCTTTTTGTCCCCTGACAGAACTGAGACAGGACCTGTCACCTTAACTTTTATCCTAATGACACTGATGCCTGTGTCATTGCACTTCACCAGCAATGACCCACAGAAAATACCTCTCAAACCAATAGCTCAGTATCCCTGATCTGCCACAGGGGCCAGGAAAATTCACCCAACAGATAAGATACAGGCAGTGAGCTGTGAATATCTACTCTTACTCTTACCTGATTGATCTAAAGTATTTCTGTCCCCTGGGATTCATTTTCCATTATCAACTATTGTCTGTTACCTATTTATGTCATCAGAAATTTTGAATATTGGAAAAGTTAAAAAAAAGAATTATCATTGAAGATGGAAACTCTTTTGCTACTGAAGTTTTAAAACTGAAGCCACAGTTCTGTTTTCTTTTATGAATAGGCTATTCACAGAATATAAGTTTATTTTTTCATAGTAACCTTTTTTTGGGTCTGGAAAGTAAAAAAATAGTGTGTTATACAGTTCTGCAACCATTCTGCTCATTTTAAGTGTATATTGACTCTTCATGTATATATAACGTGGAACCAATAAAAAAAAACAACAACAGACTAAAGTTGCTTGTAATCATGGGTGTTGGCCATTAAAAAAAAAAGCTTCATGCATATGGTAACTAGCAACTTGAAAGTGTCACGAACTGAAAATGGAAACCATACAAAGTGAAGAGAGTAAAGGAGAGAAAGCTGTGAGGAACTGTAGTGATAAATGTGTTCATCCTCCTCTAAGCTGAATGGTTATTTATAGCCATTAAACAATGTCTTCCCCTTTTCCAATCAGGACAGCAGCACAATACATACAACGCACATTTCCTATTTGGAAATCTACAATGAATGTGGTTATGATCTATTGGATCCAAGACATGAAGCCTCCAGTTTGGAAGATTTGCCGTGAGTAGCAGAACAACAAAGAAGGGGGGAGAAATCACTTTCAGATGTTCCCTTCAATTGTTTCCTTTGAAACTTTGTATGTTTCTGGTCTCAATCATAATTAACAAATACTGGATAACAGAATCTTTTTGTAATATAATGGATATTTTTTCAGTTATGACCAACAGACAGTGGTGATGGGAATTAAAATTGCTTGAAACCCATTTCTGGGGAAAATCTCCTTTGGAGTTGGTGCAAGAGAGTGCGCTGGATGTTCTCGGAGTGGGTGCTGAGAGGACTAGTGGGATATGCCAGTACTGCTTTACTCTTATCAAATCAAACCCTTTACTCCTCTAATTGTGGCCTCTCTCTGAAGAGGAGATTCAAATTAGGGTGCAGGCAGCAATAAGAGATATGAAAGAGAGAAAACAAAACTTTGTTTTCCTCATTGCTTCTCTACTGTTATTAAGACTGACACTGAGAGGCACCCGGGTGGCTCAGTTGGTTAAGTGACTGCCTTCGGCTCAGGTCATGATCCTGGAGTCCCGGGATCGAGTCCCGCATCGGGCTCCCTGCTCAGCAGGGAGTCTGCTTCTCCCTCTGACCCTACCCCCTCTCATGTGCTCTCTCTCTCTCTCATTCTCTTTCTCAAATAAATAAAATCTTAAAAAAAAAAAAAAGACTGACACTGACAATCATTTGGTCAGATTGGCACTGATTGCATCATGACTGAAATATAGTCTTCAGAGCTTACCTACTAAGTTACCCTGCCAGCATTTGTATAACATTACTCACTGCTTGTGCTTGTTTGAATATCTGCCTAAATTACATATTAATGGTAATACTTCATATCCTTTTGTCCAGACATCTTCATATATCAGGAGTTGGTAGCCAAGAAAATGCACTTTAATTTTCTTATTAAATATTCTAAAACAATTTAAAAACATATATTAATCCTCTACCACAAAGACCAACAACCAGTTGCTTGCTTTAATTTGCAAAGGAAATAAGAGAAAATACTAAAGAAAATAAGTTATACTCTTTACATCACCTTTATATGTATTTTTCCTTTTAATGTTGACTAGAGTTTTTACATATCTCTGTTATGCCAACTATATTCATTAGAGGGAGTTAGGAAGGGGGATTATTGTTGGTACTCTAAATATTTATGTTAATTAAATAATATAAGAAGAAAAAGGAAAAATCTGACTCCATGGAAGAAATTGATCTTAAGGAAGCTTTTGGAATTAAGTTTGTAGAAAGGTAAGAAGTCCCTCAAAGGAAGGTTAAAAACAGCAACATTAAAAACATGAAGATGGAACTAGAGGTATTATGCTGAGCAACATAAGTCAGTCAGAGAAAGACAATTATGTGATTTCACTTATATGTGGAATTTAAGAAACAAAACAGAGGATCATAGGAGAAGGGAGTGCAAAATAGAATAAGATGAAATCAGAGAGGGAGATAAACCATAAGAGACTCAACTCTAGGAAACAGAGGGCTGCTGGAGGGGAGGTGGGTGGAGGGATGGGGTAATTGGGTGAGAGCATTAAGGAGGGCACTTGTGATGTAATGAGCACTGGGTATTATATGCAACTGATGAATCTCTGAACTCTACCTCTGAAACTAATAATAAATTATATGCTAATTAAATGAATTTAAATTTTAAAAAAACAACCTGAAGATGTGGTCAGAAAGGCCCTGTGTTGAGGCACGTGAAATAAAATCAGAAAGGCCAATAGGCCTTTTTTTGAGGGACCACTTTTGAAGTATTTGAATGACAGGCTTTTGCTGTGAGATTGATCTTTATTCTAATAGGCTTTTAAATTAGTTTTCTAGCCTCCAGTGTAACCTGGACCTCTAGGCTAAATCTTGCTTAAAAATGCTTTTAACAAGTCACATCTACACTGAAGAGCTTGAAGCCTGCTTAGTAATAATTCAGAAATGAAGGGCTTGGCTCTGACAAACATAGAGGAGTAGAGAGAAATTTGAGAGATATACATAAAAAAAAAAATAGATGACAGGATACCTGGGTGGCTCAGTTGGTTAAGCGTCTGTCTTCGGCTCAGATCATGGTACCAGGGTGCTGGGATCGAGCCCTGCGTCGGGCTCTTTGCTCAGCAGGGAGCCTGCTTCTTCCTCTGCCTGCAGCTCCTTCTGCTTGTGCTCTCTCTCCCTCTCTCTCTCTCTGACAAATAAATAAAATCTTTAAAAAATAAATAAATAAATAGATGATAGATAGCTAGAAATAAAATACTTTGATTATTCCTCTCACCTTGGATTTGCTTGGATTTGAAAAGAAGATGAATTATAGCAAGTTCATTCTCTGTATTTTCCTAATTGAGGAGAGTAAACCCAGAGAGGTATGACTTGCCCAGGGTTTCAGAACTGATCTGTTAATGGTACAGCAGGGATTGAAAACCACATACTCCCACTTTCATGCCAGAGTAGCAAAAATAGCTTCAAGATTTTACTGTGTGGCCCAGAGAATTAAGGAAGCATTGACTAAAAAGATGATCTCTGTTAGAAAACTTGATTGGGTGGTGGTAATAAGTTTCACATACATATATAACTTTGGTGTCTGAGAGTACCCTACCTGATGTTTATAAAAAAATTCCTCACAGGTGGGAAGCATGCCTTACTTGAGTTGGTAGTCTCTCTACCGTGTAGGCCAAAATAAGTTCTTAATATTTTAAAAAATTATCTGTCAAATTGAAACTGTGAAGTAGACTTTTTGAAGAAGAGCATGAAGGAGAAAACAGCATGAGCTCTATGAATCAGAGTCTAATTGACATAACAAGACACAGCCTGACTGAGAAGCAGGAGTGAGAAAAGTCACTGAATTCTAAGAGAGGCAGTGTAATATAAAGTCAAGAACACTTGATTACAAGTCAGGAAATTTGGGTTCTAGACCCAACCCTGCAATCTTAGACTTTTTTTTTTCACTTTTCTGGGTTTCTTTTTTTTTTTTAAGATTTTTTAATTTATTCATTTGACAGAGAGAGAGAGACAGCGAGAGAGGGAACACAAACAGGGGGAGTGGGAGAGGGAGAAGCAGGCTTCCCGCTGAGCAGGGAGCCCGATGCGGGGCTTGATCCCAGGACCCTGGGATCATGACCTGAGCCAAAGCAGACACTTAATGACTGAGCCACCCAGGCACCCCTCTAGGTTTCTCATTGTCTGTAAAATGTGGCCATTGGGTTATATAATATTTAACAACCTTCCAACTTGCAATGTCTAGAGTTCAAAGATTGGTGACCTCACAGGATAGGATTTATTTGATGACTCTTTTCCCCCTCACAAAAAATAAGAAGTGATGTAGATATTTTATATTTTTCTCCTAGAAAAGAGCCTTCAGCTTCTTGAGAGCAAGGACAATGCTTTCATTCACTGTATGTCTCTATGTTTCCTGGCATGCCTGACATTTAGTAATGGCTCTCAAAGTGGATCACATTGTCTCTGTAGATGTCACTAGCTTTCTATCTTAAACTACTGCTCCTTCTTTGGTAGCTTTGTCCTCCTGTTGGAGAACCAGTTCACCGACTCAAGTCAGAAGTGACCTCAGTTACAAAACAGATGTTTTCAGAGAACTACCACCCTCCCCCACAGCTATACAAAAGTGGACAGAGAGATGTTCTTATCTTACATTTTGGGATATAATTATATGACAACAAACCTCATTAAAATGAAAATGAGAAGATTCTCATTATGAAAGAAGATTCCCATATCCCAGGAGTGTAGCCTATTTGCTCCAAATATATTCAGTACTATAAAATTCCAAAACAACTCAAGAATTGCAGTTTTGGTGTGGGGATTATGAGATTTGGCTGATATTGAGTTTGCTGGCTTTCTGGGGATTTTAGGTTTGCCTTTTACTAAGATTATCAAGTAATTCTTCATAATGGAATGTGACTTTTGCTGTACCTGGGTTGTCTTAAGAGTATGTACCGTTAATCTTGGTTTCACACACTCTTGAACTGGGACAAGCTCTAACTCTGCAATCCTATCCGTCTGGTTGATTGATTTCATTGTTGTGAGCTGGAATGTCCCAAACACTCTGAACATGATCCAAAAACACAGGAGGTAAAATGTCTGTTGACTTTGGTTCTCTCTTGCAGTCATCCATTTGAGGGACAATGACAATATAGAGATTTGATCACTTCCACATTCATGTACTTGGCATAGCCATGTGTAATCAAATCCAAGGTAATTTTGATGTTGCATAATAATAGCCATCAATAGCAGGTTTCTTACCACTGAGCAGCAACACCACTTCTCCCAAATCACCAGCTGGATGCTCTTCTTATGAGCATTCTGCCTTTTCTGCTTCTTGTTCTTTTACATCCTAATGAGCTCCAACTCTAAGCTGTTTCTGAAGCATTTGCCCATAGACTGCCTGCAGACTTTGTATATATGATGTCAGGGTACCGGACTAAAGTCAATTGCTTTTTGCAAATGTTGCTGTAGCCGTTTGGCAAGGAGTTTTTAGATACAACACTAAAAGCATGATCCGTGAAAGAAAAAAATAGATGAGTTAAGCTTCATTAAAATTAAAAACTTCTGCTCTCTGAAAGACACTGTCAAGAGAATAAAAAGATAAGCCAGAGACAGAGAAAATATTTACCAGACACATGTCTGGTAAAAGACTTGTATCTAAAATATACAGAGAACTCTTCAAACTCAACAATAAGAAAACTAACAATCCAATGAAGAAATGAGAAAAAGACCTGAACAGACACCTCACCAAAGAAGATGTATGGATGGTAGATAAGCATGTGAGGAGATGCTCAACATTATCTGTCATTAGGGAATCACTAATTAAAACTACTAGGCACCTACTAGAATGGTAAAAACCTAAAAAACTAGCAATACCAAATGTTGGCAAGAATGTAGAGCAACTGGAACTCTCATTTATGCAGTATAGCACAGCCACTTTGAAAGTCAATTTCTAGTTTCTTAAAAAATAAAACATAGTTCTTAGGATATGATCCAGCAGTCATGCTCCTGGGTATTTAACTAAA